CGACCAACCGCGCGACCAAGTTCACGTAGCCGCGCGAGTCGTGCCACGAGGGGACGACGGTGTGGCTCGCCATGAGCTGCGGGTGGCTCGCCTGCATCTCCGAGAGGAGGGCCCGCAGGCTCGACCCCGTCGTCGAGATGCTGAAGTGGGGGTAGAGCGGCAGCACGACGGCCGACGTGCACCCGTCGGCGACGGCCTTGTCCAGGGCCTCGTCGGTGAACGGGTGCCAGTAGCGCATGGCGACGTAGGACTTGTACTCGACGCCCGAGTCGCCGCTGTTCAAAGCCTCCTCCAGGAGCCGCCCCTGCTCCATCGTGTACATGGTGATGGGGCTCCCGCCGCCGATCGATTCGTAGGCGGCGCGGCTCTTCGGCGCGCGCCGCGTCGCGATGAGCCAGGCGAGGGCCGTCTGCAGGCCGCCGATGGCCGACGGGAGCCGGATGATGTCGGGGTCCGCGAAGAGGTTGTAGAGGAAGGGCTCGACGTCCGCCGTCGTCTGGGGGCCGCCGAGGTTTAAGAGGAGGATGGCGACCTTCTCCTTCGTGTTTAAAGTTTGCTGCTGGACCGGGGGCTCGAGGGTCGCCGCTGGTCTCCGCGACGGTGCCGTGCGCGGGGCGGGGCGCAGGAAGGCATTCGCCACGAGCAGCGGCAGCAGCAGTTGTGGCCACCTTCTCATCGTGTCGGTCCTCTTCCTCGCCTGGCCGGGGTCGGATGTGCAAACAAAATCAGCACGATGGTGGTGTCGCCAGGCGTCAGTGCTCGTGCGCCGGCGTCTACACGCCGCCTGATTCGGAGCTGCGCGACCCGCAGCGCTCGTCGAGGATGATGCCGCTCGCCTACGACGCGACGCCCAGCGCGGGTTTGGGCAGATCGGCCATGGCCTGTGATCTCCACAGCGGCAGTTCAGCCTTGCGCCGGAGAGCACCGTATGGTTTGACCGAGCGGCGTGAGCGGCATGATGCGGCGCTCGACGCTAGGCGACGGCGAGCTCGTCAAGACGCTGCAGCCCACCATGTTGCGCGTCAACGCGTGGGGCGGCGTCGGCAACCGCGCACATTCGCACGACTCGGACTTCTCGAAGTTTGATGCAGAGCCCTGGGAGGGGCCACTGCCGCCGCCGCCGGAGCGGTACGCCATCGACTGCAGCGTCCTCAGCGATGCCATGGAGAAGCTCATCGTCGACGCGGGCGCGTCGGGGCTTCAGTTCCACCAGGCGCGATCGGTGAACCCGAATCTCAAGACGGAGATCGCGCGGTCGCTACACTTAAAAGTGCGGCTCTTCGGCGACGCCGCCATCCCCAAGGCGAACACGGCGCTCATCAAGGGCACGGTCGTCGAGCGCGCGATCAACCTCGCGCCGGAGTACGGCGTCGGCCTGAGCTTCGGGCTCCTCCACCTCTACCACCTGCTCCACCCGTCGGACCTCCACGTCGACTACGACAAGCTCGCGATCCTGCGCGGCCTGATGCCCCTCTTCGGCGACATCAAGGGCCTCGTCGAGGTGCTCAGCCGCGGCGACCGGTGCGCGCGCAAGGCGCTCCGCGTCTGGATCATCGCGCGCGGCACCATGATGTTCACGGAGACCGTCGACCTCGTCGGCGGCCGCGCGGCCGACGCCCAGATGCTCGACGCCGAGGGCCTCGAGGCGTCGAGTGCGCGGCCCCTGCGCCACGGCATGGCCATGGACGTGGTGCTCGAGGCGGCCAAGGCCCTGGGGCTGTACGCCCGTTGGACCTGCCTCGTCGACTTGTGCGCGGCGCCGCGGGCCTCGAACCTGCCCTACGACGTCGCGCTCCAGGGCGCGAAGTTAATGCGCAAGCTCGAGATCGACGCCATGCCCGAGCCGTGCGCGCCCCCGGTCTGCTTCGCGTTCGACGACGGGCTCGAGGCGCACATCCTCCGCCTCGCGGACCGCGACGCGGCGCTCGTCGTCGTCGACACGGAGGCCAGCGAAGCGCTCGTCGCCCTGGGCCGCGCCTACATGGCGACGGCGTCGCGCCACGTCGCCCTCGAGTTGATCTCGGGCGCGCAGACGCTGCGGCGCCGGCGGGCGATCGCGGCGGCCGCCCTCAAGGCGACGCCGGGCATCTCCGACGAGGATCTCGCCCGCCTCCAGGACCAGGTCTTCGACAAGTTCGTGGCCGACGACGACGAGAAGGCCGCGCGGGCGGCGACGGCGGCGAAGGCGAAGGCCGTGCGGGAGGCGACGGCGGCGGCGGCGAAGGCCGCGCGGGAGGCGACGGCGGCGGCGGCGAAGGCCGTGCGGGAGGCGAAGAAGGCCGTGCGGGACGCGGAGGCGGCGGCGAAGAAGGCCGCGCGGGAGGCGAAGGCCGTGCGGGACGCGGAGGCGGCGGCGAAGAAGGCCGCGCGGGAGGCGAAGGCCGCGCGGGAGGCGCCGGCGGCGGCGGCGGCGGCGGCGGCGCGGATGCGGCGCGCGGCGGCGGAGGCGAAAGCGATGGAACCGCTGCGTGCGCTGGCGTTCGCTCAGTCGGTCAAGTACTACTGCTCCGTGTGCGAGCACGCCTACGAGACGACGTCGGACGCGAACCCGTTATGGACGCTCGCGCGCCACAGCTGCCCCCAGTGCGGCGCGCTCCAGTACCCGGAGATCGAGATCGACGACATCTCGCTGCCGACGGCCGAGGCGCGCGCGCCCGACGACGCGTCGACGCTGTCCCATGCCCAGGGCGACGGCGCGCGGTCGCCGCCGCGGCCCGCGGCGCTCGGCCGCGCGGCCGCCGCCGACGACGGCGAGGTGCTCCTCCGCGCCGACGCGCCGCGGAAGCGCAGCGCGCCCGACGACGACGCGTCGACGATGTCCCACGCCCAGGGCGCGGCGCTCCTCGAGCTCTTCGACCACGTGCGGAGCTGCCCCGGCCGCCACCAGTCCGCGGCCCACGCGCGCGTCTGCGCGGGCGCCAAGTTCGTCATGCTCCACGCGCGCGACTGCGACGCCGCGCCGGGCACCTGCGGCGTCGAGTGGTGCGGCGCGGTCAAGGGCCTCCTCTCGCGCGTCGTCTGCGGCCAGCAGGGCGACAAGTGCGTCGTCTGCGCGGAGCCGTCCGAGGCGATGGACGTGGGCGACGCGTCGCCGCCCACGGTGTCGCCGGACGCCATGGACGTGGACGACGCGTCGCCGCCCAGGGCGTCGTCGGACGCGCCGATGGCCGACGCGCCGCC